CTCACCCCGCTGTGCTTTGTGTTCTGCCGTGACAAGGCCTCCGGCTTGAAGAAGCCGTCGCTGGGAGCCGCGTCCCAGAGGAAGAAGGCGAGTCCCAAGCTGGAGCTGACGGAGGAGCAGCGCCAGGAGATCCGCGAGGCCTTCGACCTCTTCGACGCTGATGGCACAGGGAATATCGATGTCAAGGAGCTGAAGGTGAGGGTTTTCCTGGGGCTGGAAGCACAGATTTGCTGTGGTTAAAAAGGAGTAGGGGCATAAATGCCCAAATTACCTTAGGCAGGGAAGGAGAGAGTCCCCACTCCTCCCTCCAGCATAAAACTGTGTCAAAAGGCACATTTTTCACTGTTTTCTCTTTAATTCCAGCTTTTTACTGCTGTTATCACGTGTGTTTGGGGCCAGGCTGCCCCAAATTCTTGTATAGCTCTGTGTTTTCAGTCCTGACTCCTTCTCTGTCAGTAAAATATCTAAAAGAGTTTGTTCACATTAAACATGTGGGGTTTTTCCCCTATTTTATCTCATCGAGGATTTCACAGCAAGTTGTCCCAGCTGTGGCATCCCGGCTCTGGAATCCACCAGTATTACTCATTTCCATGCTTTCACTTACTGCCAAGTCCTTACTTTGGTCCCTCCCCACTCTAGTCCTTTGGAAAGAACAGCAATCAATAAATAAATAAGGACTAATTTTACTTCCAGGATTTGTCCTTCCCATTTGCTACCTGGATTTCCATACTCCCTAAGACCACAGGGAACAGATCTGCTTTCAAACCTGCTGCTTGTCCATTTATCAAAGGAGGAAAATATTTTCCCAATGTTCTTTGAAAGAGATTTTTATCACTGGAATTGATAAATGAACTGATTTAAATTCCCTGTGATCTGCCAGTTTAAGGCTTTCTGTTTCAGTGCTATTGGAACAGGTCAGTGGATTTGGAGATGTAATAGAAATTCTTTCATGGATTCCCTGGTCTTGAAGTCATTTTGTTGAGACATTTCTGGCTCTTCTTTTAGCCATTTGGCTTACATGGCCTGAAAGAAGCCTCTTTTTTTTGTAAAAAAAAAAAACCCTGTAATGTCTTGTTTCTCATACTTGTAGCAAGTCCCTGGACAGAAATGAAGTGACATTAATTTTCCCAGTAGCCTTGGGAATTGGTGTCTGCAGCACTGTGTGACAGGTTGAGATTTTTCCTTCAAAATACTGACTGAAGTAGGACTCTTTATGCTTTGAGAAGTTTTAACAAGTATAACCCAAATAAGTCAGCTAAGACTAGAAAATAATCCAAATTTTCTCAAAACAAATACTTCTCTCAAGACTCATATTGCCTTACCCCAGATTCCTCCCAGTTCTGAAGAGGGGTGGATGTGGCAGTGAGAGTGTGTGTAGGAAATTTCTGAATTAACTGAAGGACAGTTCCACAATGGGAATGTTTATATCCCTGTTTCCTGCAGCCCTTGTGTATAGAGCAGCATCGCTCTAAGCCTGTCCCCATTTTACTTGATGTTCTAATGCGGTGTGTGTAGTGGGTTGACCCTGGCTGGATGCTAGGCACCCCCCAAAGCTGCTCACCTCCCTCCACAAATGGACAGGGGAGAGAAAATATAACTAAAGGTTCATGAGTTAAGGACAGGGAGAGATCATTCATCAAATACTGTCATGGGAAAACAGATTCAACTTGGGGAAATTTATTGATTTTATTACTAACAAGATCAGAACAGGATAATGAGAAAATAAAACAAACATTAAAAACAGGTTCCTCCACTCCTTCCTCCTTCCCAACTCTACCTCCTACCCCGCAGTGCTGCAGGGAGAACGAGAGTGGAGGTTATGGTCAGTTCATTGCACATTGTTTCTGCCACTGCTCAGGGAGAGGAGTCCTTCCCAGCTCCAGCGTAGGGTCCTTCCCATGGGATCAGTCCTTCCCCTGCTCCAGCCTGGAGTCCCTTCCACGAGATCGGTCCTTCCCCTGCTTCAGCATGAGGTCCCTTCCACAGGACACAGCTATCCATGGACTTCTCCA